CGGCCGGGGCCCGGGGGTTCGGAGAGGGGCACGGGAGCCCCTCGGAGGAGGGGTCCTCACGCAGCTGGGGGGTCCCGGCGGGGGCGCATTGGGGGAGCCCTAGGGCGCAGGCTGAGCCCCCAGCAGGGCCGGTTCAGCCCCGCTCCCATGCTGCCCGCGGGGCGCCGGCTCCAGGGCAGCCCCCCGGCGAGCAACCCACTTCCCGGGGTCCCCGGGCACCCCGGGCCAGCCGGCCGTCTCCCCCTCACTTTGTCCGGCTTCTTCGCTCGCCGCCCAGGCTCCTATGCCGGGATCCGCGCTCCCTTCGGCAAAGCGGCCCCGAGATGGAAAGAAGGAAATGGGGGCGCCCGGCAGAGAGCGGCGGGGGCCCGCGGAGGGCGCCCCCTCTTCCCGCGGCGCAGCTGGAGCCGGATCTAAGGGGTCAGCATCGTCCCAGCCCCGCGCCAGCGGCGGGGGGGGAGGGGAGGAGCGGCTCCCGGCGGGTGGGTTTGGGGGGGCAGGGGGCGGCTCCTTCCTCCGCCGGGCAGCTGGCTCACTGCCCAAGGGGGTGGGCGGGGAGACCGTGGGGGGCTGTCCTGGGCGGGGGTGGAGGCGGAGATGCTACTGCCGCCGCCGCCGCCGCCGCGGTGGCTGCCGATGCCGTAGCTGTCGCCGGCGCCACTGCCTCCTCCTCCGGCCGAGCCGCGGAGCGAGCGAGCGAAAGCGGCGGCGAGGAGCACGGCGCGCGCCGCAGCTGGATCGCTCACTCCAACTTCAAGCCTTGGCCCCGCCCCTCCCCGGGCGAGCTTGCAGCCAATCGTCGAGCACCGCCAACCCCAAGCTGTGCGCCTATTGGTCAGTCGCCGCGGCAGTGCAGGAGGGGCTGCGGGTGGGGGGGGGAGAGAACCACAGCTGGAATCCGATTCCCACCCCAAATCCCGGGACCGCCCCTCTCCCCTCCCCTTGCCCCTGGGTCCGCTCCCAAAGGCTGGAGCCAATGAGATGGCGGCCCAGGCCGAACCCACTTTCCGATTGGCTATTGGGGTCTTTGGGACTCCCCTGGAGGGAGCCCCGGGGAATCAGAGTATTTGGAGACCGGTCCAAGGGTAGCGCCACAAAACCTGGGCATCCTTTGTTCAGGATCCCGAATTGGACAGCAGCCAGAAGGCGGAGCTCAGCTCTGGTCAGGTCGGAAGAAGACAGGAGACGGTAAGCACTGGGGCAAGGGGTACGACCTGGGTCCCAGCGCCAAATTTCGGGTCTCCACTAGGCCCATCGCCAACATAGTCGATGGACCCTGGATCCAGGTTGGGCAGCAGAGCAGCAGGGCGGACCTCTCGGGGGCGGGGCCTCAGCTGGAGGGGCGGAGCTGGGGGCAGAGGAGGAGCCAGGAAAAGGCACCGGTAGGCTAGGTCTGCGCGTAGCCTCCACCGGCCTCCTGAGTTTATTGGGTCCTGGCGCCCCGGCCCGCATCAAGATTGACCTCAACCTCCTAACTAGTGTGCAGACCCTGAGGCTTGTGCCCCTAGGAAGGCTGAGGGATGTAGACTCCACTCCAGAGGACTCGTGCTTGAACTCGTAGCCCAGCCAGGTCACCCTGGACTGCAGAACCTGAGACATAGCAAAAGGACCTGCAGGAGCCTCGAATGTGTGGGAGTTGGCAGCACCAACTGGGCTTCATCCACTCCTGCAGAGAGCTCCCACCTGCCCCTGACTCCGTGCCTCAGTTTCTCCCTCTGGAGTCCCTGTATGGCTTAGGGGGAGGTTGTCCGCAGGACTGTAGCTTTTCGGAGTTCCCTCATCTTCCCACAAGCATAAACCCTCACCCAGGCCCAGACCCCAGCCTCGTCCCCTCTCTTCACCCCGAGTTCTCTCGCGCTGCCAGGGTCAGTCCCCAAAAGCTGGGTACCACAGAACTGGGGTCCACGATGGTACTGGGCACGGGGGGAGGGACAGGGCACCGAGGATTAGAGCCCAACCTCTGCGGGAGAGGCCGAAGGTGGACGGGTGACCCCCAGCATTCTTTGCCTGGCTCCCCGGCCTACTTCCCACTGCCCCAGCCGCGCTGCCCACGCAGCTCCGCCGGCCCCCCGCGGCGGCGTGGGTGGGGGCCTCCTCAGCCCCGCCAGGCCGGTGGCGCAGAGCGGCTGCTGCGCCCTCGCTTCCCTGGTTGCCCTTTCGCCGAATCCGGGCACCGAGTTGTGTAAATGAGGCCGGCTTATTTGCATATCATGCTAATGAGCAGCTTCCCTTAAGCGCCTAAGTCTCAGGCGGGAGCTTCTGCTTCATTCTCGTGTGCGTGTGGTGCCTAGCCGTCTTGAACTCTAGGTCATCTTCTGGGAAAGGGGGGCTATTTATGGTTTGCTTTGTGCGTCTCACACCTTCCTGCCTCCCGCGGGTAAGCAGTCTAGCAGGCAGGCTTGCCCTGCTGCCCAGGGTCCGAAGCCCCAGAGCGGCTGACACAGGCAGGGGAGATGAGGAAATGAGGCCAGAGGAGCTTGCTGGGTCTGGTGTTTAGCGTGCCCCGCACCCTAGAGCGTCTTCCAGGGCACCCTGTCCCTGAACTGCTCCCCCTTAGAGAAAGGGGACAGGCGCACGTGCACTAAGAACTGCTCCCCTGGTTTGGTGGCCTGTAACCTGTGTACCAGAGATCTATGACATCCTGAGAGTGGACTCAGCTTCCAGGCGTGGCACTGAGGGCTGAAGGCTGCCAAGCAATACCAGAATCGGTCCTGAAGACCAGCCTTGGGGTCCTGGCTCTGAGCACCCCTCCTCAGCCTGGATTTCTTTCTAGCCAGTATTTTCACGTGCCACGGGTACAGAACTGAGACAGAAGTCTCCATCCTGGGCAAGTGGAAGTGAAGAGAACTTAGACATGTTGCGTACTGGTGCCAACTCCTCACGATCAATGTGAGTTTACTGCAAATGGGCATCAACAGAAATTTTTTAAAAACGTTTTTCAAAGTCTACATCCTCCCAGTATTTAGCCCAGGCTGGAACCATACGTTTATGCTTGTGGTAAAGAAATCTGTCTCCCCCTCTAGGCCATTCATGCCCTGAGGTAGGGGCAGTGCTCATTTTGTTCACTAAGGCCTCTCTAGCGTTCTGCATATAGTAAGTGCTTGGTAAGTTTTTGTTCAATGAATAACCAGGTAGCGAGAGGGGAGAGAGTTCCTCTCTTTGGGCTTGTTTTCCCATGAAGAAGTCAGGCCTGCAGGTTATCTGAGGTCTCCTCCAGGTTTGAGGGAGATCCCCTGTAAGGGTTGCTGGCCAGCCCCAGCAGTCCCCAGCAGCCCCCTGGTCTCTGCCACTCCCCCTCTCCCCTGTGGCTCCCAGGAAGCTGAGTCTTCCCATCTGTAACATGCTTTGCTTAGGGGATCATGCAAACATTTATTCTCTTTGGTCACCTCGACAGCCCTGGACAGAGGCCACACACACTAGGAAACCTTCAGATCTCACATCAGTGAGGTTTATACTCAACCTCACCCACTTTGGAAAATGAAGCGCTCTTAGGCGAACGCATGCTCTAAGGCCCCAACTCCTTCGGGACCCACTTGCAGGTGTGTGCCTGATACTCAAAGGGAAAGAGACACACTCAAAGGCAGCAGGTGGAGGGAAGACCCTAGACTCACCCTCCTCCACGGCGGTGCCTGGACCTCCTGGGGAAGAGGGCACTCTGTGATCTCCACTGTACCCCAAGGACAACAGGGAGTGCCTTGTGTACTGGGAGTTCTCACGCTAGACCCTCACCTTCACCAGACCACAACTGAGCTCCCCGTAGAGGCTGAAGTTATGGCTCCTGCCCACTCTGCACTCATGCAGGTCAGCAAGATGGTTGTGGCAGAGGGCTGTGCAGACTGCCCACCTGTTCAGAGCCAGGGCCCTCGCTGCCAGAAAGGCCACCTGTGCCTCCCCATACCCCCCCTCCACCAGGCCAAGCTCTGCATCCGACTTCCTGGCCAGGCCAAGCGGACTCTACCAAGAATGGGCCCAGCCAACCTTGCTGGCCCGAGCGCTAATCCCCTCCAGATGGGCTGGCTACCCAGACAGAACTAACACAGTCTTAGTGACCGTGTGTGGCCATGTGCGGCCGTGTTCAGGGAGCAACCATGCAGTTTCCCGGTTCCCTCTTGCTTTGCTCCGCTCCATAAGAAATGTCTCATCCAAGCTCTTGTCCCTAGCAGCTTCTTTTAGCTATTGGGCTTTTGGGATTTGGGGACTGAGAGGACGCCCCGACTCTGCAGAACTCTGAAAGGCCCTAGTTGCCTGCATGCGTTTCTGGAGACTAAAAAGGTATGCATGCCACCGACTGGACTCCAGAGTGTCTCCCAACACGGGGGTGGGAGGATGGGGGTGGGCACCAGCTTCCTCTGCAGCAGGAAGGACAAGCCCCCAACAAAAGCACATTCTTTGTAGGACCACAGAAATTTCCAAGCAAGCAAGGCGTGAATAATGCAGCTTCCCTCAGAGTCCTTGCCTCTTTTCTGGTGAAGGCCCAAGGTGGGGGGAAGGGGTTTTCCCAAAGAAATGTCTTAATCCCAGGTGCACCAGGACACACCCAAAGTGGCCAGTCTGTGAAATGCAGGCGCTCCTATGCAGCACCCCCGGGCCCTTCCCTAACCCCAGTATGGGAACCATGCAGGGTGGTGCCAGTTGGAAGTGCCAGCCTCCTGAGAGGCTGAGGCAAGAGGCTTGCAAGTTCCAGCCCAGCTCAAAGGGCCTGGGTTCAATCCTTAATATAGTAGAAAAACACGGGATAGGTCCCCTTCTCAGCCCCCCTCCTGAGGATGAGGAATGGGGTTTCCCCTTCTGGCCTGGTACACACCCTATCCTTAGTCCAGTCCTCTACACTTGGTTTAGTCCCTGGTCTCAGTTTCCTTCAGATTCATGGCCATGAGTGCGGGCAGGGGCAGGAGAGGACAGGGTTAGTGGGGCTCTTCAGAGAAAGGGGCCCAGTATGCAGGTTCCCTCACAAACGAGGCCAAGAGCCCGAATCACCACGGAATGCTGTTAGGCTTATTCCAGAGTGCATGGGTGCCCATGGGGAGCAGAGACAAGGGCCAAGGTCACCTGGTGGCCACAGGTTCTGCTCGGCCCTGTGGGGCCTGAGTGTGCTGGGAAGCCTGGCCTTCTGCCCCAGGCCTGGGGCTGTGAGTCACTGGACAAGCCGTTTCCGTAACTCAGAGGGCTCCGTGATGGGCATGGAGCAGGCCTGGCTCTCGTACACATAGGCGGTGGCCCGGTCCTCCAGCCGCCGCAGAGTGTTTAGGAAGGGCAGCTGGCGGGATAGGAAGCTCGAGGGGTCCCCGTCAGCCAGAATCAGCACCTGGGGTGGGCACAGCAGAGGACATCAGGGCAAGGAGTCTGCGAGGGACAGCGCTGGGCACATGTGGCGGGGAGGGCAGGGTGCAGGACAGCACCTTGTTGGGGAGGTAGAGGGAGTGCACACACTGCAGCAGAGCCCTGGTGTCCTTGGCCTGGGGTTCTCCGCAGATCACAATCTGGCCGAAACAGAAAGGTCAAGCCAGGGTCACAGGCAGGAAGGGCCCAGAGGGCTTCCCTACCATCCTTGCACCCCAACCTGAGGTGCAACCCCAGCACTCAGAGGCCACATCAGATATACTGTGTGGCAGGCAGCGATGCGCAGGCACACTCACAGGAGAACACGCGTGTGTAGTGTCATGCATCATGTGGATGCACGGCTGGGATGCGGGAGCACAGAGCAGGCACCTGTGCACACGCGGGCACTGCATGTGCGTCCCACGTGCACACACACACACACAGAGGCAGACACACTGCACACACCCAGAGAGGCAGGCATACACACCCTGACACCTCCAGGGTTTCGCACACAGGATGGAAATAAGCAGGCTGATACACGGAGCCTCATGGAGGAGCGGGGACCCATATTTAGCCCCTGCCACCTTCCTCCATACTGTGCCAGCCCAGGGACAGTGCTCAGACCGGCACGGGCCTGCTCAGATGCCACCTTCCCACACACCCGCCTCCCGGACACCTGCACACACACGGGTCTACGTGGGGACAGCCCCGGAGGCCTGCCCACATCAATGTCCCTGCTGTGGCCCCTCTGCCCCTCCTACCTGCTTGAGGCCCTGCTGGTGGGCAGAGAGAGCACAGACCATCTCCGGCAGCGCCACGGGCACTCTGCGCATGCGCTCGGAGAAGGCGGTGAGCAGGCACGCGCACTTGTCCAGCCAGTCCTTGAGGCCGGTGAAGCCGTGCAGCCGCAGCAGGTTGTGGGCCGCCACCGAGTTGGCGCTGGGCTCTGCTCCATCCTGGTCTGCAGGGCAGGGGGAGGCAGGGGTTGGCAAGGGAGGGTCCTGGAGTCTCAGGAGGGCAGACTCCTTCTCTCTAGCCAGCTCAGGCTTCCCAGCCCATGGCTGATCCTCTCCAGCACTGACTGCCTTGGCCAGAGTGGAAACTTCCTTCCAGCCTCCTGACCCACCCATGAGCCACAACAGCAGGTCCCACCACCCTGGCTCCTGCGCCCCCAGCCCAGCCTCAATGGCACCTGCACAATCGGCCTCCTCACGGCTCACTCTGTCTTCCTGCCCTGCCCTGTCCATTCTGTACACTGATTAGAGTGGCCTGAGACCCCCAAAGCCCGGCGGGTTTCAGGTGCTCAGCGCCAGCCTTAGCGCCCTCGCACCTCTCTTGCAGGCCAGCACAGGCCTCCTGCTCTGGGTATGTGCTGCTTCCTCCCTAGCTCACTGGTGACCACATGGCCACCCTGGCCTTGGTTAAATGACTTATCACATGCTTCATGGAGCCTCTCTGTCAAGACCCTGAGACCTGTCAGCTAACAACTATTGAGCACCAACCGTGTGCCAGGACTGTCCTATACGTTGGGGACATAGTGGTGACAGAAGAGCCTCCCTTGAGTACTAAAAAGTGAACCCTGCTCTCTGAGGAGATGTTAACAACAAACAAAACATGGGGAAGGAACAGGCTCATGGTACAGGGCTTTCTTATTCTTGGGGTACAGGGGGCTGAACCCAGGGCCTTTGCATTTAGCTATATCCCCAGCCCCTTCTGAGTTTTTCTTTTGAGACAGGGTCTTGTTAATTACTTGCCTGGACTGGACTTGAACTTGTGATCCTCCTGCCTCATCCTCCTAGAGCACTAGGATTATAGCCATGTATCACCACGCCTGGCTTCCAACAGCCTTTAATTTCATTTCACTCTTTCCCTTTGTTTTTTTTTTGAGACAGGATCTTACTACGTATGTAGTCCAGCCTGCCCTTGAGCTCACTACGTAGTCCAGCAGTCCTAGAGCTTTCAGTCCCCCTGCCTTAGCATCTGCCTGGGACTACAGGCACATGCCACCATGCCTGGCAACGGGCTCACCTGTACCTTGCCTGGCCCATTTTCATCATTACTGACCAGTGAACCTCATTCAGTGCCTAAATCGGGGCTCAGTGGACTATGGCAAGTGCAAGGTTCATCTTCCATCACCCCCTCAACCAGCACCAACCTTAGCTCCCTTTTGCATGAAAAGAAACAGGCTTAGCAACATCAGGAGACCCCAGGAGCTACATAGACATGGCATGAGATGTCACTGCCAAGCTGCGTCACCACCACACTGCCCTTGCACCCACCTCACCCCCAGGCCTAGTCCAGGGCCCCAGCAGCTGCTGCCCACACTGACCGTCCTTGACTCGCAGAGGCAGGCCGGCCCCCAGCTCAGCCTCACTGCAGAAGTAGCCACCACCCTGGGAGTCCCAGAAGAGCCTGTCCTGCGTGTCCTGCAGCCGCAAGGCCCACTCCAGCCACGCGCTCTCCTGCGAGGCCTCGTACAAGTCCAGCAGGCCCCGCACTACGAAGGCATAGTCCTCCAGGAAGCCCCAGCAGGGTGGCTCGCTAGGGGCATGGATAAGAAGGGACAGGCAGGGTCAGCTCAGGGCTGTCACAGAGAGTGGCCCCTTTTCATGTTTTTCTACCACATCCTCAAAACCCAGCTCTCCTATAGCCATTGCCAGCGCAGTCCCCAGAGATGCAAACAGGCCCAGAAAGGTGACCCTCTCACAATGGACGCACTGTCCAATGCAGGCTGCGAATGCGCTAGGGCCAGAGGCCACCATGTGCCCAACCCCCCACCTGTGCTCCACGGTGGTCCCGGTGCCAGCATAGCAAGTCCGCTTCAGGCGGCCCGTGGCCACATCGAACATGTGCCGCTTGAGGAACTTGGCACCATTGGTGGCACAGTGGACCAGCCTGTCTATGCCCAGGATAGCCCCAGTCACAGCATAGCCAGAAACCATCAGGCCTGGAAGGTAGGAAGGACAGAGGTCAGAGGCGTGGGTGACAAGTGGCCAGTGCACTCCCAAGATGCCCAGCCCACCCCCACCTCTCTGGATCTCGGGTTCCAGCACCAGGCAGGGCTGGACTCTGGGCCTCATGCGTGACCGCAGTGGGTTAGTTAGACTCTAGTCTCAATTTGTTCTTTGTAAATTAAGGGTGATGGCTGGCATTGTGGTGCACGCCTGTAATCCTAGCCCTCAGGAGGCTGAGGCAAGAGGGTTGCTGTGAGTTCAAAGACAGCCTGGGCTACAAAATGAGATCATCTCAAAGTGATGGTGATGACAGCAACAATTAATTCAGGATAATAAATCTAATAAAGAATCCGCATTTTGCCTGGCAGGCATGAAGAGTGAGGTGAAGGGAATGCTCCCCACAGGAAGATGCCTCGGCCAGGGCTGCCTCACCATTCCAAGCAGCCAGCATCTTGTTGTCCAGGTGTGGCTTTGGCCGCTGCTTCCGGGCCTGGAAGAGCTTGTCGAGCCCTGCTGTGAGCAGACTCTGCACGGCCTCAACCTCCAGGCCAAAGCGGGCAGCGGTCAGCTCCAAGGAGTAGCGCACAGTCAGCACATTCTGGCCCTGCATCTCCCCCTTGGGGTCCTGGGGATAATGCCTTTGTCCAAGGAGCCTGCATATGCCCAAGGCTCCCAGTTCCCTCCAGGAAACCCCAGATCCCCTTACCTGACATGAGTTGATGTTGCCGGCCTCTGTGAGTCCGTAGTGCTTGGTGAGTAGCTGGCCCGTGGTCAGAGGCTCTGTGGCGCCTGCCACAGACTCGGGAAGGAGACGCTGGACCTCCTTGGACGTCCACACGTAGAAAGCACCCTCCCTGGGCTTCATGCCCCGCTCCGGGGGTGAGTCTGCATCCTCAGCACTGTAGAAGCCACCAGACTGCGGGAGGGACAGTTGTCAGGCTCCACACCTGAGGGTGAGGGAGGTGGGGGAGGCCCGACGCGTCTGTAGCAGGCTGCCTGCCTGGGGGACACGCACCCGGTGGCTCAGACTACGGCCCACATATTGCAGGATGCCTTTGGCGACTTCAGAGTAGAATTCATCCCCGGAGATCTGGGGTTGCGAGGGGGAGGTTGTGAACAGAGGTGACCAAGTGGCCCAGGTACATGGGGGCCACTTTCTCCTGGGACGGTGGAGAGGGACGAGGGGGCAGTGGCACATGGGAGAGGCCAGGGAGCCAGGGAGGCCCGGAGGTGCTCGGAGTGACCTGGAAGGCCTGCGAGTAGGACACGGCAAGCTGCGCCTGATCGTAGAGCATCTTCTCAAAGTGGGGGATGTGCCACTGGCGGTCGGTGGAGTAGCGGTGGAAGCCCTGTGCCAGGCAGGACACCAGGACACGGGGCTGGAGGCTGATCCCAGCCTCTGGCCCTGCACAGTGCCTAGTGCCTCCGCTGCACCACTGCACCCCCGGCCACACAGCCTCCCTCACCTGCCCCACATGGTCCCGGATGCCCCCGTTGGCCATCATTTTCAGGGTGTGCAAGGCCATCTGCTGGGCCCGAGAGCCATCCTGGGTCAGCCGGTGGCCAAGCCAGTAGGAGAACAGGAAGCTGAGGATCACTGCCAAGAACACAAGGATGGGGGGGGGGGTTACCCAACACATAGCCTCTGGCCAGGCTGGGGTGAGGAAGCCAGCAGTCACCCCAGAGGTCATGAGATCACTGCCCAAGCCAGAAAGCAGAACATCATCAGAGCCAAGCGTGGTGGCATATTTCTGCAATCCCAGCTCTCTGGGAGGCTGAGGCAGGAGGATCCAAAATTTAAATCCAGACCCTCCTTAAAAAATAAAAATAAAAATGGCTGGGAAGGGCCAGTGAGATAGCTCAGCAGACTAAGCACCTGCTCAGGCAAGTGCAGGGACCAGGGTTCGATCCCTGGCACCATATGCCAGGCCAGCCCCACTCCTGGGTGTGCTGAGCTGGCCACCAAGACCAGGCATGGTGGTACATGCCTGTAATTCCAGCTCTGGGAAGGCTGAAAACAGGAGGATCACTATGAGTCCTAGCTGCGTAGTGAGGCCCTGTACCAAATACATTAAAAAAAAAAAAAAAAAAAAAGCTGGGGATATAACCCCATGTGAGGGCTCTGGGTTAAAAAAAAAAAAAAATCATCAGGCCACTGGGAAGCAGAAAGCTACTGACAAGACAGCAACATGAGCCAGGCCGGGGTCAAGGGTCGGAAGCTCATGGTGTAAGTCAGGGGTCAAGGGCAAGGACACCGGGCATGTGCAAGAAAGATGTCTGGTCTTGACGGGGGCGGGTGCTGACCTGGGGTGGGGAGTGGTGCTGACCTGGGGTGGGGGGTGCTGACCTGGGGTGGGGGGTGGTGCTGACCTGGGGTGGGGGGGTGCTGACCTGGGGTGGGGAACTTAGGGGCCTCCGCGAAGCCACCGTGCTCCTCGTCGTAGCCCTCATCCAGCTGCTGAAAGCAGCGGCTGTTCATGGTGGAGGCTGAGGGCGGCACCTGGCGGTCGCCCATGCTGATCTCCGAGCGGGCCAGCAGGGCAGTGGTGACTCGCTGGCTGCTCTCTAGCAGGGAGTTCTTGTTCTGCTTCCACTGGGGCGGAGGCGTGCTCAGGTCAGTGGGCGCTTGTTCCCTCATCCCACCCCCACGCTTTGGTGTCTCCCACACGCCCACCTGCTCCCGGATCCTCAGCAACACGGTGCGGAAGCCCACACGGGTCAGGCCGTCCTCGGGGGGGAAGTAGGTGCCCCCCACAAAGGGCTGGAGGCTTGGGGTGAGCCACACGTTCATGGGCCAGCCCCCACCGCTGCTGGTGGCCTGGAGGGACAGAGAGGGCCAGGGTCAGGCCAGCTGCTCACCGACAGGGACTGCTGCACCCGGGCCGCGCAGTGCTCACCTGCACGAAGGTCATGTACACTTTGTCCACGTCTGGCCGTTCCTCGCGGTCCACCTTCACGCTGACGAAGTCCTCACCGAGCAGGCGGCCTATCTCCTCATTCTGGAAGGTCTCCTCCGCCATCATGTGGCACCAGTGGCAGGTGGAATACCCCACTGGAATGGAGGTGGCCCTCACCTCCAGCCCCCCAGGGTCCCCTGAAGCCCGAGGACCTGTCCCCCTTCCCACTGTCACTCCCTGTGGCCCCATTGAGGGCCAGTGGGTGTGTCACCTGAGAGGAAGATAGGCTTGTTTTCTTTCTTGGCCTTGTCAAAGGCTTCCTGTCCCCAGGGGTACCTAGGCCCAGCAAGGTAGGACATCCATCACTCAGGAGTAGGGGGGCCAGGGTCTAGGAGGGGCTGTCCCCCAGTTGCCTTAGGGCAGGTATGTACCAGTCCACAGGGTTGTAGGCATGCTGCAGGAGGTACGGGGACTTCTCACTGATCAGGCGGTTGGGGACCTTCTGGGCTGTGTTGTTAGGGCCGCTGGGCCGGCTTCCCTTCCCTCCAGCAGGCATGGACACAGAGCCGCTGATGGTAGCACTGCGGTCCTTGTCCCGGGAGGAGCTGCCCCTGGTGTGGGCAGGCGGGTCAGGCAGGAGGCGGCTCCCCCACACCCACTGCGCCAGCCTCGCACCCCTCAAGGACCCCTGCTCAATCACCTTTCTGAGCCCCGGGGGAGACCTCTGCCTTTGTGCTCCCCCTTGTGTTTTGGGGGTGGTGGGGAAGTGTGGCTCATTGGGGCTCCCTGCTAGGCTCGTCTCCCCAACCTCTTGGACCTGGAGCGGCGAGGTGATGGGAGTCAGGTCACGTCACAATGGGCAGAATGGTGCTTCCAGCTCCGTTCCGCGCCCTGGCCAGGCCCCCCCAGGGAACCCTGGCATGTGGCGGTTGGGGGGGGGGGTGGCTGGGCAGCCCAAGGAGACTTGGTCTGAGACTGGACTGTGGCAGGCAACCAGAGGAGGAGACACACTGCACTTCTTGGTCTCACCTGCCGAAGTGTGCAAGGCCAGGTCCCCGGCCAGACTCGGGGGACACCAGGGGATAAGAAACCCTTCAGGAGGCTCGGCCCAGAAAGCAGCTCTGAGGACAGACCTAAGTAACGAGGTCCAGCCAGCATGGCCATCCCAATATGCTGTGAGGCTGAGGCAGGAAGACTGCAAGCTCATGCCCACTCTGGGCAATTTACAGATTTAGTGAGACTATGTCTCAAGAGAAATGAACAAGGGCTGGGATGTAGCTCAGTACCTAGGCCTGGGGTTCAGTCCCCACTACTGCCGGCCCTGCAGCTGCACAGCACTGAGAGCCTGTAACGGGCTCCGTGTGGAGCAGCTAGGGAGAGACTTTGGCCTAGCTCTGGGTTCCTGGAAGGCTTCCAGGAGGCAGTGTCAACATAGCTCCGGATGGGGAGGGGGCTTGCGAGGGTTCAGGCGTGCAGCGGGATGCAGCAAGGACGCGCAGGCGGGGGCTATCCAGTGCCAGGGTTAGAGTGACTGCACCTTGCTAGTACCTGCGGCTCAAGGCGCCCGTAACCGCGGCGATACAGAGTTCTGGGCAGGACCGTCTGATTGGTCTCCGAGCGCCGCCCGGCGGCCGAGTGCGGAACTGCAGGGAGGCAGAGAGGGCTTCAGAAGACCCAGGTCTGTGCCTAAAACCAAGCTCAGCTTGACTGACCCCCACTTATCATCCCAGCAAAGCTGTGGGGCTCTGGCTCCCTGCGATTTCAGTCTCAGCTCATCTTATGCAACTTCTGCATCCTTTAAAATTGCAAAATAAGGGCCAGGGAAATAGCTCAGTAGAATAAGCACTTTCCTGGCAAGTAGAAGGTCCTAGTTCAATCTCTGGTACCGCAAAAACAAAACAAAACAAAAAAATAAAATTGCAAAATAAGGGCCAGGGAAATAGCTCAGTAGAATAAGCACTTTCCTGGCAAGTAGAAGGTCCTAGTTCAATCTCTGGTACCGCAAAAACAAAACAAAACAAAAAAATAAAATTGCAAAATAAGGGCTGGCAAGAAAGCTCAATGGTCTTGTCTGGATCCACCTAAGGACGCACACTGCTTGGCTCAGCCTGCTCAAACGCCAGCTGTCCTGGAACAACCACGGGGATACCCTTCTATGCATCTGCCCAAGTGTAACCGAGTGCTCACTGCCTGGAGCTCTGAATCTGATGGCCACACAGATATATGTGTCTTCAGCCACCTCCTGACAAGTGAGAGAGTGGGTGTGACGACGGGGTTGGCAGGATAGATGAGGAGAAAAGTTTCTCAAGAGAAAAGCACATTTGTGACAGCAGTGGAGGAAAACTAGAGGGAATGTGAGGTGAATTCTGGAGAAGCGGGCAGAAGGAATGGTGTGTGCAAGGGTCCTGGGGCACACAAGCAAGCTGGGGCTGGAGACCACAGCAAAGGGATCCCAGCACTCAGGATGGTTGCAAGTTCGAGCCCAGCCTGGGCTAAAAACTGAGCTCAAGGTCAGCCTGAATCACACAGCAAGATCCTGTCTCAAAAAGTCCAAGCACAACCAACAAAACAGGGACCCTGCCCATTAGCGCAGTTGTTTCCTTGCCTGCTTAAACAAAGCTGACAGGCTCAAGATGCTCCGGTTGGAACCCAGTCTCTCCCAGGAAACCAGAGAGGCCCTCAAGGCATCTTGAGGCCTAAAAAAAAAACAAAAACAAAAAACCAACAAAACAAAAAACAGCAAGGCAAAACAAGCAGGACCAGGCAGGGCAGCTATGAAGAAGGGCAGACACTCCCACTGGGGGTGGGGTGGGGTGGAGGGTGCTTGGTGAAGAGGAAGCCTGCCTGGGGTGGTGACGAGGATGGCCATGGCAAGGGCAAATGAGAGGCAAAGGGCGGGTGGCCAGGGCATCCTCTAGGGTAAGGGGGTCAAGCGGAAGCAGGGAAGAGATGGTGAGAAGTCTGGAGCCAGGAGGAAAAGCATCCCAGGAATGGGGTGTGGCAACCCTGGGGGGTGGGAGGAGGCAGGCTGCTCCAGTTAGGAGGACCAGGGCAACTGGAAGTGGCTTCAGGAATCAGGAAGTGTCACAGAGCGAGCAGTCCCCAGGGAGAGCTGGGTGTAGGACCAAGGCTAGAACCTTCCAACTTGGGTGCAGCAGAAGACAGATGCAGACTCAGGGTGTCACCTGGCACAGCCAGGCACGGGGGCAGCATGAGCCATTTCTCAGGGTGTCCTAGGACAGCCCTCTTCCCGGGTTCCACGTGGCCCCCTTACCCAAGAGGCTGTCCTGGCCGCCCACCCTTGGCCTCTCATTTGTACTAATCGCTGGCCTAGATTCCTTCCACTCCAAGCAGGGATGCTGGCTGCATAGCAACCCCAGGAGGAGGAAGGGACTCATTGCCCCCACTTGACCGGGAAAGAGGCACACACCGAGGTGAAGTGCTTTACTCGAGGTCAGGCGAATGACCACTTATTATGAAGCAGTCATCATTAAGTTTAACTTCAGAGCAATCATTTTGCAGCATGGGTCTGACTCCGAAGGAGGTACTCATCCCTCCTGCCCACAGCAGCCTCCTGCCCCAGCTGGGTGGGCCCCTCCCCACTCAGCCACTGCATCCCCAGCCACCACCTTTGGTATTTCTGGCCCTTAAAGGGGAGAGCAGCAGGTGCCTTCAGGGCAGGTCTGAGATTGGGGACCCACTGGTGACTGGTGAGGGGAGCGTCATTAGAAGGGACAGCAAGTGGGCCTCCCAGCATGGAAGGACTACGGGCTCCACCCACCTCTGCCTTTCCAGACTCTGCCTAAGCCCCAGGAAGGCACAGTCTCCCTGTGATGGCTGCAGCTGATTCACATCAGCCCAAGGTGAGCGTGGCAGGGAGCTTACTCAGGAGAACAAAGGAGCAGGGGGCTCCTGGCTCTGTCTTGGGCTGCCGCCATGTCCCCTGCCCGTGTCCTGTATCCCCCAAGCAGCTAGAGGCTGCAGGCTCAGCAATTCTTGGGCCCCTCCCAGCCTAGCACTTTATCCACAGCAGTGCATCAATATTTGCTAAATTCAACCTGGGGCCAGACTGCGTGCCTGCCTGCCTGACAATGCCAGCCCGCAGTGTCGTCATCTTGCGACTTGAAGTGTGCTCCTCAACCTCCTCTACAGAATGGCAGCCACAAGAGAGACCAGTGCAGCTGCTGCGGGAAGGGCTGTGCGTGTGGACTGCGGTTCTGTTTCCTTGTTTCAGAATTCATAGGGCTGGGCATAGTGGTACACATCTGTAATCCCAGCACTTGGGAGGCTGAGGCGGGAGGGTCGCTGCAGGTTGGAGGCCAGCCTGGGCTACATAGTTCAATACCAGCCTAAACTACAATGTGAGAACCTGTCTCAAAAAAATTAAAAAAAAAAAAAAAAAAAAAACCACACTTGATCCAGTTTTGAGCAAGGAGCCCTGCGCTTTCATTTTGCCCTGGATGCCAACAAATTCTGTGGCTGGTCCTGAATGCGAGTAGCAGGATTATCTACCTCAGTGCCGTGATTAAAGTTTTTTGCCTAAAGTGCTTAGTCCACTAAGTGTGCAATACATAAAACAAGTCCCTGCTGTCCCGGGCTGTCAGGTCACCCCCCACTGCCTCTGGGTAATGAATGAGCCACAACCAGGGAGCATCTGGAAGGCCGAGTGCCAGGCTGACAGGAGATGGGGTGGCACGGGAAGAAAATGGGAGTATCTGCACTCGGGACTGCGGCGTCATCATTTCCCCGGCAGCAGGTGATCCGTGCTATGGTCCAGAGCCAGCTGCCACACCTGGCAAAAAGTCCATTTGGTAAAAGCTGAGGATCTGGGTTCCAGTCTTTATTGTGTGGGCGTGGTCTTGGCGCTCCGCGGAGTGGTCTGTCTCTTGGGTCAGGAGCCCTAATCTCACGCAGTCCACAGAGACCCAATCAGTGCTCAATCTGTACAAGCGCCCCGCCCAGGTCCAGAGGGGGCGGGGCCTCGCGCCGTAGCCGTCCAGGCAATCAGAGGAAGGGGTTGGTGCCCGCCTGCCGCGATGCGTCCAGTGGCCCAGCCGAGCTGGACGTGGGCAGCAGCGGTGGTGGCAGGCTCGGGGCCAGTGGGGCAAAGGCACTGGCCTGAGGGAAGGCACTGGCCGAGACAGGGAGGGTCCTGCCAACCGGGACGCTGCTGAGTGGAAGGGGCAGGGAGGCACTGTAGGTCATAGAGCCCAGGGGTGCCCCGAGGGGTAGAATGGGCACAGGCGACCCAGTGCGCATCTGGTTCAGGGTGGGCGCCACCTGCTCGCCAGCACCAAATGGGTTGGTGGAGGATGGAGCGCTGAGACCTGTGAGAGGGGTGAGGGGAAGACACGGAGAGTCAGGTCCTAGGGCTCGGGCAGGACCCCGGAGAGCAGCGTGCCAGGTGCGCAGGGCCCCGGAGCACCCTACCTGTCAGGAAGGGGTTCCTGGTTTTTGCAGCTTGTGGTGCCTTGATCAGCGAATCAAGGTTGACCAGGGAGGAGGCCGAGGGGCCCAGGAAGGACTCGGGGGTGCGACGGGCAGGGACCTCCTTACTTGGGGGTGCGGGTGAAAGCGCCTCCCCCAGGACCCCCAGATCAAAGGCATCAGACTCCTTTGTGCCATTCTGCTTGGAACTGGGGCTAGGCTCTCCGAACGGGTCTAGATCTGCGAGCAACAGAATAGAGGTTGTTGGTGGGGAAGAGGCAGCTGGCCTGGGGTCCCCCACTGCCAGAGCCTCAGTATCCTGGCCTTCTGCTCACCCACGGGGCTGCTCGGCTTTCCAGAGGGCATGGTCTGGGCACCCTGCAGCTCTGCCTTGGTCTCTGTGGGTTCTGGGGTTTTGGCAAAGGGGTCAAAGGTCAGGACACCACCTCCAGCTAGCAGAGAAGAGAGAAGAGCTGCAGATAGGGCAGATGATGGTTGAACCCCAGGCCAGGCACACAGCCCCTGCTGCCCTTGCAGCATTGGTGGGAGTGGACCCAGAGGTATCCAGCCTCTCATAGCACCCTTTGCCTCCACCTACCAGGGGTGTCCGAGGAGTCCTTGGAAGCCCCCCAAGGGTCAGCCCCAGTGCTGGAGAGATTGTGGTGGGGAGAGTTTGGTGCCCAGGGGTCTGTGGCAGGGGGTCCGGCAGGCAGCACTGGGGTCCTGCCCCAGGGCTCCGAGGAGGAGAGTGCAGGAAGCAAGTCCCAAGGCTGGCTTCGGGACAGGCTGTTTCCTGAGGGGACTGGAGACCAGGGGTCTGCAGAAGGTCCCCAGGAGGAGCCGCTGGGCTCTGTGCTTGGCCTGAGACCTAGAATGGGAGGAACAAAAATGTAACCCAGACCCCTGCAGCTCTCATGCAGGCCAGCTCCCCACGCTGTGGAGGGGGAGGTGTGAGGGTCTTGTCCCAGTGGGAATGCTGCTGCCAGACCACTCAGTGAGCAGGAGCCTATATTCAGCGGGTCTTCTCAGCAGCCTGGACCTCCTGCCACCACCTGGCCCGGGCATCAGGGGTCACCGACCCCATGGAGATGGGCCGGGTGAATGTGGACAAGACATCTGCTGTCCCAGTGCCCCAAGCTTTTCATCTGAAAGCCAGGTAGCAGGGGGGAACCTCAGCTTGTCAAGGTGGCAGTTTTCCAGCAGATAGCTAGAAAGGAAAGGGCCCTCTGGTACCAGCGGGAGGCGTGTCACCAACCTGTGTGCCCACCAGGAATGTCCCATGGGTCAGCAGAGCAGTGAGTAGAGGAAGGTGCAGGGGCAGGGCCAAAGATGTCAGCCAAGTCCAGGATGGAGGACTGCAGAGGGAGAAGCAGCCGCAAGTGAGAGGTGGGTGGGCCCCGAGGGAGGCCAGGCCCTGACCTGCCAGCCTCTGCGGCTGCTTCCTGCCTTTATTCATCCTACAAACATCCCTTCGTGATCCTTGCCTCTGTCCAGCGCTCCAGGTTCACAAAATGCTTCCTCATCCACCGAGTTCCTGATTCTTCTAAGAATCCCGCAGGCAAGGGAGGGCAGGTGCTGACCTATTTATAGCTGAGCCCTTGAAGCCCGGAGAGGGCGGTGTTTCGGCTGAAGTTGCACAGCCAGGGAGATGCCAAGCTGGGCTAGAACCCAGGCCAGCAGAAAGGACAAAGATGGCGACTGGACAGCGAGGCTTTCTCCCTAGCTCTGTGTCCAAGATGTTGGACACAACGGCCATGAGAAGGGGACAGAGCCCCACCTTGGGGCAGCAGGCGCAGCATGGGGCGGAGTCTCGCTTGGGAGCCCATGTTTTCAGCACCGGATCTCTGACCCAAGCCTCAGTCTCCGTTTGGTCTCTGATCATCTAAAGCATCACAGCTGGAGCTGCTCCCAGGTGCCCGCTGTGCAGAGAACCCGAGGCTGGCACAGTGCTACGTCCCCAGCCCCTCCAGGGTCTTGACCAGGATTCTGGCACTGCCTCCTGCGTTGCTGTCAGCTCTGCTGCCGGCCAGCGCAGCACAGGACCAGAGACTGCTATGTGCGTGTCACCACCTTGTCTCCTTTAATACACAAGTGGCGCTTCCTGTGCTCCCAGCGTTGGCCATGCAACTCCACAACTCCCTACCTGGCTGGTTTTCAGCTTCTCTTCCTCCTTCCTGTCCTCTCTCCCTGACTCTCTGTCCTTCCGACGGCGAGCCGCAGCCCCTGGACCGTTGGCCACTGGAGAGTCTTCTCCTCGCCAAGACCTCACCTCCTGCAAAAAGCACAGAGGAGGAGGGGCATGAGCAGCCCAGGCTGGGCTCAGGGTGACCTGGGCATCCAGACTGGGGGCAGGGACAGAGGGAAGGAGGCGCCAAGGTTAGAGCAGAGGAGAAGAAGCCAGTTAGTGTCCCGTAGCGCCGTAGCACCGCCACCAGCACCTGCGCCGCCAGCACCTGCGCCGCCAGGACTTGGCCCGTGTACTACCTTCTCGTGCTCCTGCTGGCTCAGGCGCAGGGCCAGCTGCAGCTGCAGGTCCTCGTCCCTGTGGGAGGCTGGGGGCACTGGCTGTGAGGAGGAAGACAGTGGTGGACTTGGCCTGGTGCTGCCAGCCCTTGGCCAGCATAGCCCTGCCAGGAGCCAAGATGGAAAGACAGAAACATCCCCATGCAAGCGTAGGGTAGTCAGTGAGGATGGGCCTTTCTCCCTGCTTTCTGAGAGACAGCCACAAGGTCAGGAAACTGATGTCTTCCTTCTGGGTGCCCTGAGAGCAGCCCTCGTGCTGCCACAGGAAGCCCAGCTGCTTCCTACCCTGTCTGCCCAGATCCATAGAGGTGGCGGCAAAGAAGGGGACATCAAACCAGGGGTGGCCTTAAAAACCTGTAATTGCAGGATTCTGGGAAGCTGAGGCAGGAAGATTGCAACTTGGAGCCCAGCCTGGACAACGAAGCCAGGCCTTGCCTCAAAATAAAAGACGGTGAGGATGTAGTTTAGTGCAAAGGCCCTGAGTCAGTCTCCAATACCGAAAGGGAAAGAAAGGAAGAGGGAGGAGGGGAGGAGGAGGAGGAGGAGGAAGAACAGGTGATAAAGGAAGAGGGAGGAGGGGAGGAGGAGGAGGAGGAGGAGGAAGAACAGGTGATAAAGGAAGAGGGAGGAGGGGAGAAGGAGGAGGAGGAGGAGGAGGAAGAACAGGTGATAAAGGAAGAGGGAGGAGGGGAGGAGGAGGAGGAAGAACAGGTGATAAAGGAAGAGGGAGGAGGGGAGAAGGAGGAGGAGGAGGAGGAGGAGAAGGAAGAACAGGTGATAAAGAGACAGTAGCAATCAGGGGTCCTACCAGGACAGCTCAGGGGAGCCCCACCTTGGGCCCGGCTCAGGACACAAACAGCGCCCATGTTGTCGCTGGAAGCCAGAGGTGGCTCTAGGCCCAGGCGGGGGGCCTGCCCTAGGCCATGGGGTGCAGGCCTCACCTTCTCGGCCTCCTCCCGGCTCATGGCCAGTGCCAGCTGCAGCTGTAGCTCCTCTTCTCCCGACGTCTGCGGCCGGGCCTGCTCCAGGTCTGAGGCGTAGCGGGGGGACGAGGAGGAGGCTACAACAACCATCATGGATACTGTGACCAAATCAGGTTCCTTAGCCCCCACACCCTTCTGTCTCCCAGAGGCCTAAGGCTCAGAGAGGGAAACTGAGGCAAGGGGAAGCAGTGAGCCAGGAGGCAGCAGGCCAGGCACCTCCTGTTAGATTCCCAGTACAGGGGGCTTCTTGGCAGGGGCAGTAGTCAGAGAGGCTGGACTTGAACCCAGGCACCCTCCTTCAGCCTCTGGACTCCTGCACTGGACCTCAGCATGCCTGGGGCCAAAGCCGAGCTCCTGATCCAACAGGTCACAGCCTCAGGACCCCCAGCAAACTGCCAAGGGCTTTATCAATAGGCCATTCTGGGGTTCCTCAGGCCAGGGAAGCCCCCACCACTGGGAAACAGAGCCAGGAAAGGCCAAGTAGTCACCCCGATTTTTAAGGGCAGCGCCCTGAAATGGGGGCATGAAGGAAAGGTGTCTATATCCAGGCTGAGGCCATGGGCACCCTTGTGTGAGGTCACATTTACTTCCCAAACAGCAGAGAGAGGCAAGATTCTCCCCATTCTACAGAGGAGAAGACTGAGGTGCTGATTACTGGTTGCTCAGGTTGCATAGCTTGGAGTGGGCATAATAAAGGGTGTGGAATACCAGAGCCTGAGCTTCTGCCATCATGCCATCCTATAAACAGCTAATTAGTAACTGGGCACACTGCCGCATGCCAGTAATCCTCAGCTCAGGAGGCTGAGGCAGGAGAATCCCCGCAAGTCCAGAGCCAGCCTGGGCTACACAGTGAGTTCAAAGCCAACCTGAACTACCTGGTGAGACCCTGTCTCCAAAACAAATGAATAGCTAGTGAGCAACAATGACACATAAATAATGACATGTCCCTGTGGCTCGTCTGCTGAGCACCTACAATGTGCCAGGCACTGTGCCCAAGTCCTCAGAACCGTTAACCACAGCTCAGAGTTGCAGAGGCTGTACTGGTACTTGGGCCCCGTGGAAGGCTTCACTCACAGTGGTAGGACGATGGGGAGCCCCGGGAGAAGCCCAGCTGCCCGCTGCCAATGCCTGCGCCCTCCAGCGCCATGCGCTCCTTGGTCTTAAGGGCGTGTGTGCGCTCCTGCCGCAGCCGCTCCTCATCCCTGAGCAGGGCCATGACCTGCTTGACCTTCTCACGCACATTCACGCCCTGGTCCTTGCCATCCCGGTCGATGTACTGGAAGTCCTTGAGTGTCTGGATAGTGTAGAGGTTCTCGCGGCACTGGTGGGCCACGCGCTCGGAGCCCGTCTTGAGCAGGTAGTCCAGCAGCGTGAGCGCCTTGTACACATGCCGCCAGTTCTTGCCACTGTCATTAAGCCGCCGCCACAGCATGCCCATGACCTCCGCGAAGGCCACCGTGTTGAAGGTCAGGTCAGCGATCTCCGCCATGAGCGAGCTGGGCGGGCCCCAGGGGTCATTGCTGGTGGCCTCCCGCACCTTGATTTCCGCCTCCGAGTAGTTGTGCACGATGTTCTTCACCTGGCGTCGTAGCGCCGAGGTGGTCATGGCTGGGGACCTGGAGGTGGGTGGCCCCCGCCCCCGCCGGAGGTGGAGGGCCGAGGGCCACTGTCGAGAGGTCACTGTCTCGAAGGGCGGGCCGCCGTGCACTCAGCAGGACGGCCGTGTCTGTGGGCTCCACATGGGGCTGCGGAAGAAAGAACAGCTAAAGCTCAGAGACAGTGGCCCACCCTGCTGATCGCTGAGCCACAGGCTACTCGAGCCCAGCCAGCCGTGTCCCTGCTGTTGGAAACAGTGTCCCAAAAACTCACTTTGGTCTTTTCATTTTGAGACAGGGTCTCACTATATAGTGCAGGCTGGCCTTGAACTCACTATATAGCCCACAGGCTGGCTTCTGACTCACAGCAATCCTCCTGTCTCAGCCTTCCAAGTGGGGGGATGACAGGCATGTGCCACCATAAAGTCTAGCACTTGTATTTGTCTCATGGTGTTTGTAATTCAACAGGCACTTCTAACCAGGCAGGCCCCTGTACACGGCCATCCCCAAGATGCTGTTCCTGCTGTCACCAATCACAGATAGGGTAGGAGGCTCAGCAAAGGGGCCCAGGACTTGTCCAAGATCACAGAGCGGGGGTGAGGCCCAGGAACCCCCACTCCCAGATGGGTGGTTTCAGCCAGGACCCTAATGTGGCTGTGGGGAGTGCCCCCTTGCCCAACCCGTTTGCCTCCCTCCACCTTCCTGCCCAGTTTGTGCCTGTGACCTTTCTGGCTTCTCCTTTCTCCTGTGGCTAATGTTTGTATTTTGATGGACTCAACACATATTTCCTGGAGGCCTTTTCTGAGCTGGGCACGATGCCAGGCCCCGGACACGCAGTTGGCCGACCCACGTCCAGGCTCGCCCAGGAGCACAGAAGACATGGGCGAGGAAGTTCAGGGGAGACTTCCCGGAGGCGGCGCTGGCTGAGAGGAAACTGGAGGCCCAGGGGAGTGGGGAGGAGGAGGAGGAAGGAACCAGCAAACCAGGGAAGGATGTGGGCCCGGCCAGTGGCCAAGGGCAGGCATCTGTCACGGACACCTAGCTGCCACTACCTGGCCACCTCCACACCCACCAGAGCACAGAGGGGACATGACCTGCCCACATCACACAGCTTGTAGGTAGAAGGGCTGGGACTGACACCTAGGCCTTGGTAAGACTAACTAAACCCAATACTTCACCCCGTCACCTAGTTTGGTAATTAATTAATCTATTTTACCATCTTAGGCCCAACTTCACAGCCCAAACGGAAGCTCCCCAAGGACGGGGAGTCCCCACTCTCCACAGCTCCAAGTCCTGTCTACACAGAAGGCCTTGTATAGCTCAGCAGAGGGTGGACAGGGGCTAGGGCCAGGTAATATCCAGTCCCCCTAGCCTCAGGACCAGGACTGAGAGAAGTCCTCTCTCAAGCCTCTCAGTGACCCCACCATATCCATGTGGCCGTACTGTGCAGAGGTGTCACCTCCTGGCTGGGGCTGCAGGGAGGGATGCCCCCATACCCAAAGACATCGCACCTCCTGGCATCATCCCCAGTGGGCCTGGCTGAGTCTCCTCCTCGCTCCTGGGCTGCTGGAGGCGAGAGGCAGGCCCCCAATAATCTTGTCCTTCCACCCTGACACCAGCCCTGGACCCAGTTCAAAGGGGGCCCCCTGCAGGCCTCAGCAGGTCCCGTCCCAGCCCAGGAGCCCCAGAACAGGAACCCCTGGCCCAGAGGAGATGGGGCCCGCCCAGCTTGGAGCTGCCTACCTTCCGTCTGCCGTCTGTCTTTCTGTCCAGCCAGCGGCGGACTCTGTGGCGCTTCCACAGCCACAACTAGTTTAACTCCTGCCCTCCCCTCTGGCTGTGACTCAGACCTGCCTTCACCTCCCAGTGGGCGGGCGGGAAGGCTGGTGGTGGCAGAGTGGAGATGGGAAATAATTGTGCTCAGAGCCCGCCCCAATGCATGCCTCTCCCTGCTGGCTGCTGGAACCAGCAGAACCAGTCCAGCATCCCGACTCCACCAGAGCTGACCCGGCCCAAGTGCCCTCCTCCCTGCTGGCCCCTGGGTGGCTGGAGCCCGGGTGACCGGCAACGCTGGTTTTTGCAGGAGAGAGCTCAGTTGCCCACCTGGACTTCGCTCCTAGGAAGGAGGTGGGCTTCCTCAGAGCACCTTCAAATGTCTGGGAAGGGAGAGGTCACAGGCGAGGGAGGGGCTTGACCTTCGCCTAGTGTCTGAGGGGACCCGGGAGGAAAGGCAGCAGGCAGGAGGGAGCGGCCAGCTGGGAGCCCTGCCAGCGGGGTTACACGCAAGGGTTTTATCGAACACAATATGCCCAGGCATAAAAGGCAGTGAAATCCAAACCTGCTGCCGATAAGGCGGCTGCGGCAGCCCCAGACGGCCGTATGGAATTACTGCAGTGACCTTGAGCCAGACCCTGCTGGGCACAGAGGAGGACGCGGAGCAGCCAGGGCCCAGGAGGCCCATTTTGAGCTGGGAGAGGCAGAGGCTGGGCTGGGAGGGGTAGAGGTAGAGGGGGAGCTTTCTTCCCCCACTCAGGGTCCCAAGAACTTTGGGGGTCTGGGGGGAGGTGGCTCTTCTTAGTTCCTGGAGGACAAGCAAAGGTCGGGGGACCTGGGAAGGTCCAGCCTAAATGTCAGCGCTGGGGAAGTGGATGGTACCCCCACCTCCATGTGGGGGCTCAGAGGCATAGAAGAGAAGCCAGATGTGGCTGGTTACATGCACGTGTTTGTCAGAGCCTCTGTGTGGTACCCCCTTCCTGTCCTTGGTCCCAGACCGAGCACCCAGGGTGAGCAGGGGGAGGGACTGGCGACGCCCATCCTCAGAGCTGTGTCCAAGGGGCAACCCTGAGGCCAGACCTACAGCTACCAGTTTAGAAAGCCACCACGGGTCCTGGATGCCAGCACAGATGTTTGGGGCACAGGTAAAAAGCCCCCGGGTCTCTCTGGGCCTGCCCAGCCCTAGTGCCCCCCGCCCCGACTAAGCCCCAAGCCTGCTCTCTGTCACCAAAGGCACCATTGCTTACCCCCAGTGCGGGCTCCCCTGGCCCCAGCCTGGGCCCCAGCAGCCTCTGCAGCAACCCCACGACCCACGCCGCGGAGGGAAGGCACAGCCCCGGCAGCAGCTCCAGAGCCATCCACAAGGGGCGCAGACCCCCCAGCAGGGTAGCGCAGGGTCCCCGAAGGCTGCAGCTCTACTCTGCCTGGTCAGCTCCTCTTCTCCAGCCAGCAAGCGAGGGATACTCAGGAGGGAAGTTGCTCAGCTGGCCCGGCAAGTCTGCCCTGGCAGTAACAGGACACAGGAGGACGCCACCAGGCGGGCAGGCAGGCAGCGGCCGGGTTAACCCTTGCTACAGCTACCAGGTGGGGCGGGGCCTGCATCCTGAATTCACTATTTGGGGACCCCAAATAGTGGGAGCTAGAGCTTGTGCCCACTCCCAAGCCCTCCCTCCCCTCCTCCTGGGGCTGCAAAGGCACCAAAGGAGAAAGTAGGGGGACTGTCCCCCCACTCCACCCTCATACCAACTCCATCTCTCAGGTTCCAGGAGGGAGAGTGTGCCACTCCTCTGGGACTGCTGGTCCCACAAAATACCAAATGTGAACCCCAAGGGCTCTGGGCTCCTCCCAGTCTCCCATCTGCGCTATCTCTACTCTGTCATCCATTCTGAGTGGGTTACTGTAAGAGCTGCCAGGTATAGCAGGCAGTGCCATCCTTTTTCATTTTTTCTTTCAGAACTGGGGGCTAAACCCAGGCCCTTTGCAGGGGCCTTTTTTATTTTTTATTTTGAGACAGGGCCTCCCTGTCACCCAATTGCATTGCCCATCCTGCCACCAACTTGCTCTGGTCCTGGGCCATCCAGGCCTTCTCCAATCACCAGCCAGGTGGGGCTAGCTGCAGACACTGGGAGGACCTGGGCAGTGACTGACCCCGTGTGCACCCAACACCCAGCACATGGGCACAGCACAAGTGCTGGAAACATAAATGTTCTTTATTGACCTCATTGTTACCCAGGAGGTGGCGAGGCCCAATCCCGCTAGACATACAGCTGTTCCTCCGTAGACTTCACTGGGCTGAGCGCATCAGCCAGCACCAGCAGGTCGGTCACCAGTGTGTTCAGCAGCCCGTAGACCTGGAGGAAAGTGACAGACGTCACAGGCGAAGGTCTGCTCAGTGGAAAGCACTTGCATGTTCGGCTGCATCGTCTCACAAAAATACCCAAGTGGCACACGCCTGGCATCCCAGCACTCCAGAGGCTGAAGCAGGAGGGCCGCTGAGAGTTCAAAGCCAGCCTGGGCTACACAGTGTGGTCCTATCTCAATACCAAACAAGAAATAAAAACAATTTCTTTCCTTACATGTTACCCAGTCATGGTATTTTGTTGTAGCAACAAAGATGGACCTCACAGTGTTCTCCTGAGGATTACAAGGGATATCCAATGGGGGGCAGCTAAGAGAGAAGTGTCCTCTTCTCTGTCCCTTAGTCTGACCCGCTGATGCGTGAGGCTGAACCAGTCCTCCATTCAAACCCCATGTGACTCTGTTCCAAGTCCTCACGATGGCCAGCAAAGCCCCACGTGGTCCCTCCATGCTCCTGTCTGCTGCCACCTCCTCTGTGTCAGCCGCTTCCCTGGCCCAGGGTACCCCTCTCCCTTTTCAAGATTTTGCAGGATGCCTCTGGCTCAGCAAGGCCCAGCCTGCCCCACCCGGCCTCCCTGCCCTGAGTGACCCCGGCTGCCAGGCTCTGTATCCACATACTTTGCTTGGGGTTCTCATTCATGAGGTCTGCCCTGCTCACGAGGACGCCCGCTCTCCGTGGGCTGGTGGCTCTGCCTCGGTCTGGCAGAGCTTACTAGTCATACTGGAGAGTGAGGTGCAGGGGTGGGGGTGGGGGACTCGTTCCGCACCTCTGTATGCAGCCGGTGCGTATATTTCTCCATGACCAGGGGATCGATGGGCTTCTGAGATGCCCTGACACCATCAGGCATGGGGTCTTCCAAGGAAAGCTTATCGCGACTTGTAGACTTGACTACTTTCTTGTCCTCCTTTGCCTTCTGTTTTTTGCTGTTCACGCGGTCCTGCTGGGGGAGGAGGAGTTCCTATGGCTCCTAAGGTGGGCCCCAGACACTGCACAGCGCCTCTCTGGCACCACTGCCCCCACTCAGGCCAAGTCCAGGACCCTCCCGCCCATTCAGGGCGCAGATGAGACCTCCTTCACGGGTGTCTTGGCTCCTTTTTTGTCCTCTTTGTCTCTGATTCCCAGTTGCTTCTTCTCCTGGGTTGTGCCTTTCCGTTCCTCCTTCCCAACTCTCCCAGCTGTCACCTTCATTTCCATGGTGGGAACTGATTTCTGATCTAAGGGAGGGGAACAGAAAGCGATGCACCCTGCCAGCGACACACCCTGATGACTGACATTCTAGGCTGGGGACACAAGAGTGAAGGCGACAGCCCAGGGCCCTGTTCTCTGCAGCTCCTACAACTGTCTCATCTGAGTTTGTCCCAAGAGACTGGGTTCCGGGGCTGGTGAGATGGCTCAGTGGTCTAAAGCACCTACTTAGAACAAGCTTAGCTAAAGCACAGGGACCGCGGTTCAATCCCCCAGCACCACAT